GAGTCAACCATAGCATAAATCTGCTGACAGTGTGTGTTGACTAGACYATTCTAGAAAAGTTACTTTTTTTTCCCCCCTGCTTAATGAAAACCTTCAATCTGTGCATAACAGTTACTTCTGTGCAATTTGATTGCAGCTCTATCTCTAATTCTAATTTTACAATTAATTATAATTTATGACAATATAAATTATTGAATGTACAATGAAATTTAAAAGGACATGGAACTTTGCTGTATATTTTTTTGTTGCCTTTTTCTTTTCATTGCCTTTTAGGAAGGAAGAGGGGAAAGATAGCAGTCGAGCAAGTAAAGTTTATTGAAAAGCTTTGTTTCATTTTCTTTATACCTTTTTTAATAACTCTGAATCAATWCCCTGAAGTCAACTAAACATAAGCAAAGATATGTTAAGTACCTGAAATRGAAAATACATTTTTAAAAGGTTATGTGTTTTGTAATCTCATTCCAGCAGAATCCTGACAAGTATTCTTCTGCAAGGTTCCAGACACATAAACGTGTTGCATATAAATGTCTTATATAAAATATAGCCACAATTTTGAAAGATTGAATTAAAAAAAAACAAACACCCAATTTCAAAGAGCACAGAAATTGGTCTATGATTTTAGAATGTGCTAAACATTCAAAATTTATAATTAAATGAACCATTAATCCAGTGTTTGTTCAGAACTGCACAAAGACCGTGAACTTTCATAAAAACAACAAATAAATTCACCTAAAATAGCAGTACAATGGCTGTTATTTCAAAAGTTGCATTTGATCCCCAAAATGCAACTACATTTAATGCATGCCTACATTTAGATGAGATAACGCTTCTGGTGAGAGCTGTCTACTTTTCTCTACTTTTTCTCTTCCTACACAAGGGCCTGGAATAATGATGCCAATAGATTACAGCAATCCTATGTTTTATAATCCTATTGAATGTTTTAAAGGTTTCTAWAGTTGAATTATATAGATGTATGCAGGATACTGTATTAAATTACTTCCTTACCGCTGAATTCTAGGATATCTAAAATTTAGGTAAACAGGAGCTGCAGCTACAATTGTCTGAATACTTTTTCTCCCTCTAGGTTAACAAAGAGGTAAGCTTCTTTTTCATGTCATTTAAAAGCTCCAMATTATCCACTCCCTGAATATCACAACAGTGTCTGATTTCAGAACAGAGAAATTGTTTTTTTGTTCAATGCATATTTGAGTCTTGCAGTTGTATTCTTAATTAAATTTCTGTCATAGTTATTGGAAATAAATGTTTGTGGGGCCAGTTCCTTCTAGGCATTTATTGAAGGGTAGAGATTAATCTTATCCAACGTAAGTATTTCTGTCTGAACTAGTCATTTTAAGCACTTTTGCAGTCAATGGAGAGAAACACACATTCAAAGTGTGATTTATTTCACCTTTTTAATGAGATGATTCATGTCCTGGAATACTGATTTTGCTCCTGTGACTATAAGAAAATCCTTTGGACATATAATTCTGATGCGGACATTTACACAGTAAATATCTATATTTGAGAACACTCCTTATTATGAAATGAATAGTTACTCATTCAGACTACTATTGTAAGTCTTCTTTCTCTTTCACCTGTCCTATGGAACAAATGGCCATTTAAAATTAATTGATATCCTGGAAATATATAGATCTAGAAACAAGAGAAAACAAAACCCCAAACAAAACGGAAGCTAAATGGTCTTGGTTTTCACACAATGTCTGTATGTGAGATTTTTCACTATGTGACTGAAATATGCCACCCAAATCTTTGCAGAATTGCACTCAGAAGCATTTTACTGTTAAACAGACAAACAAACCCAAAAAGGCTACATTAGGCAACAGCAGCTATGGTAGGTGATCTTTTTCAATAACTGATGAGTAATGGTGATTTACTACTGACTTACAAAGCAAATTCTTAACTGATGTACAAAAGTTACTTTTCTATATTAAGAGTGTCTCTCCAAGTTAGCATTTCCCAAACTTGCCAGCATTAATGAGTATTAATGGATTGTGCTCTCACACCTATGTTCACTACTTGTACCATTTACTGGACAATTAAAGTTAATATTTTCAAGCTTAAGCAACCTGGGATAAAATATTTTTAAATTCAGCCTTTCCCATCATACAGATGGATTGTAAGATAATAACTTCAAATAAATAATGCCACTGGGTACATACGTATATATATCTATATCGATAGATAGATGATAGATAGATAGATAGATAGATAGATAGATTAGATAGATAGATAGATAGATAGATAGATAGATAGATAGATAGATAGATAGATAGATAGATAGATAGATAGATGAGGGATCATGGATTCTATTTGTCTACAGAATGATATCTAATATCATCTGGACACTTTACTACCCATTCAAACTTTTGTTACCACTCTATAACTTCATCCGTGTCATACCTGCCAGCCCAGCATGTATGACTTAGATAATTMTGGGCATCTCACGTGGTATTAGACAATTATGTGGGGGTGACTACACYGAATGCTCATCTACTTAATTGAAACTCCCACCTTTGGAACATCATTTCTCCCTGGAGGCCATCAAAAGCAGCCCTCTTCAGTGACTTTTGCTGGGGACATTAGAAATAGCTCACTAAAGATACCAGACTTAACACACAACATAGGCCTCCTAAGCAAAGACTGAACATGAACTTGATTCACAGACCTAATTCTGAGGAGTACTAGATTTTTGCAAGGAAGGATTTATTATCACAATTGTTTTGATTTTTATGCATTTTTAAGCATCATGTCATCACGGGAAATCTGGCTGGGAAAATATGGGGTGAAAGAAGTGTAAGTTACTTATACGTCAGCTTTGACCACTTTTGCAACCCTTAGCAGGTGATGAATTAGGCAGCTCCACAGATTCCCCAAGGTGAAACTGTGAATAGCCACTGATTCGAGGCTGTATTATTCCCTGTCACTACATTTCTTACCTGTGCTAGTAATTTTCTTTATGGTTTAATGTCTAACACTTGCAGTCCTACACGTCAAAATCAGACTTTTGCTGATTTAACGATTTTTATCAGTCTCTCTGTCCCAAAGTGTACCCAATCCCCATGAACTATGAAGCAGAACTATAATGAGGGAATTTGCAATGAAGTGCAAGGTTATGGCAATTTGAGCAGCTTTACACTGGATTTAGAATAAGCCTGGAAAATAATTATTCTGCTGCACATTTTATGCATTCTCATTTAAGTTAGAGCAGATATATTGCATGGATAATCTGTTTTTAAARAAATATATCTGGAGTTACTTTTACATACTGAGATTCTGAACTGGCAGTGAGCCTGCATTATCTAGTGCATGTATATTTTCTTGGTCAGTAAATAAATGCAAAAAATCCAAGAACTTGATATTACAAGAATTTAAATTATGTGATCTATTATTGCTATTTGATAACAGTTACAAGAGCCAATTGATGGCAGTTTTCTGTAGAAGAGAATGRTACTCAAAGAAATGATCTTTTGTCTATGCCAAAATGGGCTCCCTTACATCAACTCATGTTAGTTTAACAGATTATGATACAGGAAACTGTATCCTAATTGCATCCTAAAATTGCCTTAATAASTGGACAAGTTTCATTTGAATAAAAGTCAGTTCTATATGTAAAAGAAATTTTTAAAATTTACTTCTGATTTTTAGACAATATTAAAATTTTAATTACAAAACCACATATTAAAATCATTATTAAGCAATTGTAATTAAAGCCAATACAACAATAGTCTTACCTTCAGATCTTTTTATTGCCTTATTTGTGATTTTGAAACAATGCAAAACTTTTCAATAAAATTGGATTGTATAATGTCAATATTAAAGAGCTACACTAAAGAATAGCTATTAAGTGACATTTTTCCATGTAGAAATTCCCTAATATGGACTAKATTTCTAGCATCCATCATTGTCAATAACAAAAAACCTGTAAAAACAAAAAAGTGCTTAAAAGGAATACTCTWTGACCTTCTTTCTATCTCAAAACCAGTAGCAGCAAAATGAAAATTAATAAAAATTTTAATAAATCATTCATCAATAAAAAAGGACTTATTGACACATAGAACAGAGAAATGCAAGACTTCTGAGTAGTCCCAGAGGGCCTTAATTTTAATTTATTGAGAGGACTGCAATGTTAACTACTTTTACTTATGTTTGATTCGGTCAAAACATGTTCATATATAAAGACAGACAATAATAAGAAAAAACTGATGTAATTTCTACATATAAATCCAGGCTWATGTGAAACATACCTCTTCTAGTAAAACTGGCTGATATTCTTAAAAAAAAATTGGAAAGASAGAGAAGMTAATATTTTAGAATATACTTAGAATATTAAACTGCAATATAAATAGATTAATTTAGAATATTAAACTAGAAAACTTATAACAGCTTTTTGAGGAATTTAGTTACTGATTTCACTAAAATCAATGTTTGTTGCAGCTCTGATTCCATTGTGATTTTCATACTTTGAAATCATACTTTGAAATCAAAGGAATTATGTGAGAGAAACCATGGTAGAGCAACAAGATCATCTGTTTTTTCAAAAGGCAGCAGCTTTTCCGGTAAACATAATATTGTTTAGCACAATTCAGTGTATCAGAAGTGATTTTAACTCTTACATAAAAAGGGGTCTAAATGAATCACAGAAATCAAGACTATGAGTATATACCACTTGAATTTAAACACATTCCCTTTGAAAACRAAGGTAAAACCATTATGATTTTTAACAAGAGTAAACATAATGGGAAGAAAAAAAAATCTTCATAAATTCTATTTAGAATAAACTTGTAGCAGTTTTATAAAAAGAATATGAAAGCCAATTTTGGCTCTTATTGTGGCTAGATTTTACATAATCAAAATAAAAAATAATAATTTTATTCTTTCAGAATAAGAGCAGTGGAATAGACTGAAAAATTTCAAGTGGGAATCATTTTAGCAAAATAAAAGCAAATTGAAAAAGTAGAAAAGGAAATTGAGAYCAAAAATAAAATTGAGGATAAMTGGAGGAAAAGAATGGTCGAGACAYAGAAAACAAATTTGCCACAGAATTACATTAATAGAAACAATCCAATTTTAAAGAGCAGTACATAGGTAGAGCAATCATATTACTATTGTGTATGAATATAATGAAATCAAAAGAAAGTTCTTGGAATAGAATCAAAATASAATTTCTAAGTTCATTAGGTATCTCTAGGAGAATTGAATGCCAATGTCTATATTTAATTGCAATCATAATTCTAGAATCTTCATTTGGTCTCTGAATCATGTGTTTATGTGAAGCAAAATTTTTAGAGTTAATATCTTTTATTCAACAATTYGTTGTAGTTGGGGAAAAATTGACATGCTTGTCAGTGAAAGACTAATTGCAATTCAAAAGGCAACTGGCTGTGGAAAATTAATATTGAAGTATTTTCAGGTGATTCCAAATTATGACAGAGAAATACTTTAAAGATTCAAATCCATATACTTAGGCTTCAGAACTGAAATTCAGCTTACGTCAGTAAACAAAGATCTCCACGCATACTGATGCTGTAAGAAGGAAAGACACATCTTCAAATCAAAATGTTCCAATTTGGAAGCCTTATGTATTTTTTCATCTCATAGGATTGCAAAGTTTTCCACTAAGAAAACTCATTTTAGTGCAACCAGGATTCAAAATTCTCAAAATTGCCAGTGACAGTGGATTGTGAGGTTTCTGCTTTTGGGCCATGAAATGTTTTCTATAGATTCAGCAGGGCTTTAAAGACATAAACTTGGTAGTCCTGTTCCCAGAAACTGTGCCTTCCTGAATAGCAGAATTTCATATTCCTAGCAGSTTCAGGTTCTAACTGATTCAGCTGAGCAGATAGAAAGCATCAGCATCAAATCTACTGCCAAAGGAAAAGTTCAAAGTATCATTGCTGGCAGAAATTAGGAACCCTAAAGGGCGGCACAGATGACACTAGTATATTTACCATATGAACTTAATTAGATCAAATGGTCTGATTTTCCTTATTCCACCAGCTTTCATTCTGATTTCCCAGCTTGCAGTTATTCTCAGTCATAAGTAGAAAGTCATAAATTGGCAGCTCTAATTAGGCAAAATTGTGTATTCACAAGTATCAGAAAGAAATATAATGTAGGATTTTTCTCCCTCTTGAAATGTTAGARGAGGCTCTGTAGACAGTTTTAGTCATGGTTCATCTGTTTCATGACGCAGTGAAAGAAGGACATCAATTTTCCAGCTTKTCATGAGCTTCCAGCATGCAGTAGATGCACTGAACAATGAGATTAGAGCCCACATGCTTAAATTGAATATAAGATTAAGAAACAATTAGGTAACTGCTCTTTTGACTCCYATATTTGCAACAAAGCCCCAGTGCAACCACAGGATTACGGTATATATTAGTTGATTGAACACACAGGCTTTCTCCRCAGTAAACTCATTTATAAGATTTGTTAACACTGGCAAGGAGGTACAATCTGAAGTTATAAAATAAGTCTACTTTTAGTTTTGTTTTTCTTCCTACTCTAGAGTCACAGCTCAGTTGCTATGAATATCCAGACCATTACACCTCTTCCCTTCAGTAAAAATCAAACTGCTCATTTAAATAACCCATTTGAGGCCATAACCCATTTRAAGACAAGACCCGAACAACAAAAAAATTATATTACTATGCACTTTTCTCTTTGAAAAAACACAGTTTAAAATTGTTTAAATATACTTTTGTGTTTCTGCAGTTCTCTTGCAGCCACAAAAACTGTTCTCATATTCCTTTCTGCTCTTTCTGTAGAGATTTCCCACAATTATCCAGTTCTCCAGGACACATTCACAAGAACAGTACCTGAACTTACTACTACTCCACATTCACATATTTACGCCTACAATACTCTGGGGTTTTTTTCTTGTTCACTGACTGTGAACGCTTTTATGATTTTATAGGGCATAAATACTTAATCTTTGTCACTTCCAAATTTCTTCAAGTTTGCRATCAACAGCGTATTTACTGTGTAAATCCTTGTTCTTGTGAAGTAATCATTGTCTTTGTCTCATACAAAAATAATCATTTCACAGTCAGTAAAATCCTAAGCAGTGCTGACAAAGTCATGGTTGTTTGATGACTACAACACAGGCACCAGCTCTTCCAATATTTAAGGAAGCCATCTGCAGAAAAACAGACATAAATTAACTGAAAAGAAACAAACCATGCAAAAGATTGCCGAACAGGAACAAGCTGTGCAAAAGATTGTCAAAGTGCTGCATCAACATTATTTTAAAATGGTCAAAGGGAGTATAAGTTGCTAAAAATAAATAAAACCCAAATTACCTCACTATTGTAATTTAAAATTACTTACTCACACCTGGCATCTTTCATTTTAAAGCATGAGAATAGAAAGCAGAGTTTTATTTTAAACTTAAAATCAATTTTAGAGTTGTCACCAATTTTGTGAACCCTTRATATGCAAGGGGTTTCTGTATTTTGTAGACTGTGGCTGATGCTTCCATTTTAGTCCTTGAGGCAAGGTGAAAACTACCAATAGACAAATGTATGGTTCCAATATTCCTAAACAGGTTCAAGTGTCTATTAGAATGAGTCTGACAACTTTATACACTATTCAAGACAAGGATTAAAAACTTTAGGAGACTGTATCTTGCTGAAGCTAACACAGTAGATTCAGTTTATATGTATGTAATCACACACTGTAATTAGTGGTACTGTGTATATCACAACATTGTTTACATGTCTCCTAACTACCTCTGCAAGCATTTTTATTAATGATTTTTAATGTAAACTAGTGGTTTTGCAAAAAGCATCTTTCCAAATTAATTTTTTTTATTTCCCACAGAGCACCATAAAAATGCTTTTCTCATTAATTCAAACTAGATTAAAAAGATGGAATTCTGCAATAAGTTTAACCATTTATTGCTACATTTAAGCTTGTCAACAGAAGTTCCCCTTACAGTCATAAACAGAAATAAGAATTCTTGAGTATAATATATCTCACCTCATTTAAATGCTCATTTTAGGATAAGATCATGATTCCAAAGTAAGCACTTTTCTGCACTAACTTTAAAGGAAACTTAGAATGGCTACTTCACAAATGTTTGTGTGTCTGTGTGTGTGTGTATATATATATATATAAAATAAACTCATAATTACCTGTGTCCACTCATTAGTTTGAGGGTCATATGCCTCCATAGTGTTCAGGTATGTTTGACCATCGTAGCCACCTACTGCATATAATTTGTCACCCAGGAGACAAACACCAACAGCATCTCKAGGCATGCTCAGAGGAGCCACCATTGTCCATGTATCAGTTTTTGGGTCATACCTGAAGAAAGAAAAAGGAAACTGGGTATGTGGATAGAGGACAAGCATCAATTCATTCTGATTTTCACTTGAATATGGTCTTTTCTTTTCCTGGGGGGTAAAAATATTTTTGCATCCTACCCAAAAATACTCTTCCTAACAGCAAAAAGAAAAGATACAGATTTATTGTGTTCCCAATGCAAACATCTAGATATTGATTAGAAACTTTCACTCAGGTAATCRGCTAGAATAAACTAACAAATTTGTAGGACAGTGTGTCATAAAGAGATTTGAGAAAGATATATGAACAATATCTGGATGTAGGTATGTATGTAAACATTTTATTACAGGTTATGTATACATTTTAAGTAGGGTATTTATATTTAAACTATTATTTTAAAATTAAATATCACTGTATTTTATTTTCTGAAATTACATTATACAACAGTAAAAACTTATATATTCAGGGARTGTACTTAACTGCATTAGATTCTCCTCCTGATATTTTCTCAACTAAAGAAAGTAATACYGGTTTTAAGACAWAATCACCACTGAATTTTTAAAACTCCATTCCTTTTGTATAATGATGGTAATTTAAAATTCAAATATTTAATCTGGCTATTTATTTAAATATGCATTAASAARGTAAAATTATTTAATTTCAAAAGTCATTCCATTGTAACTGTTTTGGACAYCCAGAGAACAGAAATTTATTATCTTTTGATAGTTTGTTACTAGGAATGTCTGGAGGTTTCACTAGATACCTCAGTTTTAGATGTCAAATATTACCAAAACAAAATACTGTACCATAGTATGATAAAATCAATTTCATCTGTCCTTAAGCATCTGTACTATGTAATAGAATCATTTGACCAGTGAAGAAAATAAGTAGTTTTAGTCTACAAATCCTTTGCTTGACTTTATTWATTTGCTTAGAAGTGTAAGGTAAGTCACACTTTGGGCATGATGATTTCTCTAAAATATTAATAAAGTAAATCTATAATGGCTAACATATTATTTATAGGCCCTCTATAGTTATATAAAATTAGGTATTGAACCACTTTCTCCTACAGCTCTAAGAGACACTATCAGCCATAAATTCTATTTTTGGGGAAGAGTCAAGTTCTTTCAGCATATTTTTTTGTAGTCTAAACATTATTAAGTAGAAGGTGATAATCCTACAGAAAGCTGTAAATACATATGTTTTACAAAAGAAGAGGAAAATGCTAGGCTGCAAGAACACCAGTAACTATTTTGTTCAGTTATATTATCAATAAGCAAATCTTAGGAGTATTGTTTGAAGTCCCATGTATTTTAACTATGAAATATTTATATATTTATATAAGCACTGAAACAGCAATGCTTAATAAGTGTTTTGCTTATAACAGCCTTTTGATTCATAAATATGACTTTTAAATTGAACCATARAAGAATTTTCTGTAACCTTGTTTATATTGTCCTTGACAGGTGAATAAATATTAAGAAAAAAACATCTACTCATCTACTAGCTGCTAATCCTGGCATTTGGGGGACTTCTCAGGAAATAAGATGTCAAATATCTAGATATGTGATAAAAGTCTTTCTTAATTTWAGAGGAAAATACTTAAAAATATTGCTTGAATATGTGAAAGGAAATGACCATGTAACACGCAAAACAAAAATTTTTAATATATTTTTTCAAAGACTGTGTGAGTTTTTCAAGAACATCATTTACCTCTAGCTGAAACAGTTTCCCATCCAGTGAAATGCACCAGTGTGCATTGTATCTTTTCCTGCCTAAAGGTAATAAATGTTTAATAGACTCCCTCATACACTGCTTTTAAATTACAAGGGMCAAGGTGAGGAGGTACAAAAGCTGGAAAACAATACAACTAACATCATTGGAGCTTTTTCTTTTCTTCTCCCTTTAAACAGGTATGCAGTGCTAAAGAGAATCCTTGTAACTCAATTCTGTCAACAAAATAGAATTGCACAAGAACTTGTTGGTTTTGTAATTGCCAGGAGAATATCTGGGATTTCTTACATCCTTTTTGCTGCTAAAAGCAACTGTATATGTTATCTTTATAATAACTAGCTATGCCTCAGGCTGAGCAGGGTTATKATAAAAGCTCCTGAATGTGGAAAGAAATCAATTTTGAAATCAAGGTGAGACAAAGAGGAAAAAACTGTAGATCAAATGCCTGTTTTTAATACCTGTCAAGTTTTGAGTAACATTTGAAAAAGAAAGCTGGTCTTTGAAATATGCCAAAATATCTTGAAAATTGTATGGTCTCATGAAAAAAATAGTTGTTTTGCCTTTAAAAATGAACAGAACATTGCACTTTGCCAACTTGTGAAGCCGGGAGAAACAGTACTATTATTTTATTTCAGAATGCTTGATTCCAGAGTAAATCCTTTAAAATTGCATCAACCTTAGAARAGATTAAACTGGAAGACCTAATTTCTATTGAGCAGGATTTTAGTAGTGGCATTAAAAAAACACATATCTTCTGTCATTATATTTGCATAATCTCAAAAATAAATCTTAAAATATTATGTCTGGTTTGACAGTCTTCCAGGAGCAAACTGGTACTGGAATAAAGCACATCCTACTAGGCTGCATCGGAATGACAAAATTATTGAAGAAGACTCATTCYTGAAGAAGAGACTTAGTTAAAAAGMAGGCTTTAGATATTTACAAAAACTTTCAGTGAGATATGAAATAACTTAGGCTAATAGACCTSCCCATCACTTATTATTCTTTGTTTTCCTCAGATATTGAGGGACTTTTATTTTTTTGAAAATGATGCATTATTTTGGAATAAAAAGCCAGACACACTAAATCACATTCCAGCCATCTAATCAATCACTAGGAGGGCCATGAGAGTTTTTTCACATTTTAGTGGAGTCCACCAGTTAATTCCCATCTGCTCTATTTAAGTTAACAGTCTTACAAGTTCTTGTTTGTTAGTCCCAGCTTTTAAGCTATGAGCTGACTACCGATGAAGTACATTATCCACAGTTTTTCCTGTCAGTGGAAAAAAAATCTAGAGGAGGGACACTGTACATTGTCATTAATAATAYCAGTACTTGAAACAGCATAAGGATATGTGGTTTAACTCATTGTTACAGCCTTCCTTCAGAAAAACAAATGTAATGGAATATGCTTCATCTTCAACACCAGAAGGGTTTCCTTCTCAGTGAATGAAAAATGGAAGCAAAGCTCCCTTATAAGTACCAATAAGCAGAAGTAGTTGAGAAGATCTCATTAAGACTTTTCCTTCATATGAATTTATTTAATTGAAAATTCTTGGTTTTGTTCCTTATAAATAGAAGTCCACAAGAATAGGCCCTCTAAATGCAGGCATCATGGGATTTCCCTGATTAACTGTCCCTCTCTCGGAGACAAGRAGTATTTGGCAGTCTATGATTGCTGCTTACATATAGTAGAGATGGTAATAAGTCTAAGATTGAGAAAAATCATATGGATCACATAAGGATTTTTAACTTCTAATTTTTCAATTAAATATTGAATGCCAAGCTGGATTCAGCAGAAGAAACAACTGACATTTAATTAATCCCTTCAGAAAATAAATAAATATTTCCCAGCGTGTATGTTAAAATAAACCAGCTACTCRAAGATACGTACTTTATTGCAATCTGTACATATTTGGCGTAAATACTTGCCTTATTTTATTTYAAAGCATACAGAAAAACAGCCAAGCCTTCATGAAACATTTGAAGARTACCTTTAAATTGAATGCTACAATAACTTCATCTGTGCTGTACTGCCCTACTAGACATTCTTGAATTTGCAGAAGGTCCATTTGCAAAATTCAGGATACTGTAAATACAGGGTATAAGTCTTTTATCACCACATTAGAAAGTGACAATTTTGCTAAAGGAAGCAATATATTGTACTGTGAATATCCATCACTTAAGCAGCTATTTCTTCATTGTGTGGCTATGTTTTTAGAGTTAGAAAATACTTTTAAACACAATCCAATTTTGTGTTACAAAATTATTTCAAGCGAATTTTTTTTATCTCTTCAATGTTTAGTTTGCGACACAGCAAGTACAGTATACTGTCCTAAAATTTCTTAAATGGGATGTGAAAAGAGTGGATTTTTATGTTGGTGATAATATATAGTGGTACTGTGAATAAAAAGGGATGACAAAAAGTTTCCAAGAAATTATCTTTTACAGACCTTTATAGAATTTTTCAAGGAAGCATTAATTARGCATTTCTTGGGTTAAAACAACCTGTTTAATTTAACCATAACAAAGCTAAGGAAATAATGCTGCCAGATATTATTTTGTGTAAGAAATAAGCACTTATAATTTGATACCTTTCTACATAGTCCAGCAGTCGGGAACAGTGATTAGAAGCAGGAGCATCGTGACCTCCAACTGCATAAAGAAAACCATCACATGTAGCCACTCCTACGCCTCCTCTCCTCTTACACATAGGAGCACACATATTCCATTTATTTGTGTGAGGATCATAATATTCCATTGAACTCAARCATGAACTTCCATCCCGACCTCCAACAGAATATAACCTAAGAAAATCCACACAAATAAAAGCATTGTTAGAACAAGAGCTCAGAATTGCAGAAAAAAAGCCCAAGGAGTATCTCCTCTTTTATCTGACATCAGAAAATAGAAAAAYAGTAATACTTTTAAATCATRTGAATCTCATATAGTGAGCAAATAYGGATGTTTTCAATATTATTACCAAACTCACATACAATTTAGTGCTTTTTCCATCTGAATAGAAAGGAAGATTTTTTTTTTTTTTTTTTTTTTTTTTTTTTTTTTTTTCAATACTGCGTATACAGTCAAGAGCACCACAAATTACATGCAGGTATGTTCCTGTAGATTTATAAATTATGCAAGCAGTATTGCTGCTTAAGCTTATCATCTGTAAAATGGAAGTGCTAATTTATAATTGGTAATCCAGACAAATAAGAAATATGCAATCCATTTATWATCAATGCATATCAATTTATTATCAATAGTTTGATTATGCAATCAAACTATTAAGGACAAACAATATCGAAAATTTGATCTGGCATTCAACAAATTCCACATAAAGATCATGGGAGCTCATCCACATAAAGATCACATGGGAGCTCATGTTCAGAATGAATTTTACCCTTACAATATAGTAGAGATCAAATATGAAATGTGTTTCAGTTAGGAATATCACATTATGCTTTAAACATGGATTTTTWAAAAGWACAACCTMGGTTTCAAGGCTCTTGCTTATGTTGAAGAAAAGTCTTACTCATACTAACAGTAATATGTCTATTTGGAAGAAAATTATAACCCCCAAGCACTGTGTGTTGTTTTTCTTCATCAGAATGTTTTATGAGGATGGAGTTAGGTTGGAAAGTCATGGAAAACTTCTGAAAACTATTTTAAACTTCAAATGATAAAAATGTGGTTTAACAGAAAAGATGTGTTTGTAACTATCTGCAGGCAAGAAACTTGTTTCGTTCTACTCTTTATAATGGGTCCCGGGAGGAAATGGTTCTGATTGTTCTTTTCCACTAACACCATGCTGCATTCATTTCTTACATGAATCTTTTTGCAGTCTGTTGCCTTTTATACAGTGCCTGGAGATTAACTAATAGAAACACAGGCTATTTTAAAGTCCGACCACTAAGCAATTTCGGATGTGAAAGCTGTCTCTGTAAAGCAATTACTCATTTGGAAGCTTTTACTGTCCTAAGCACTCCATGAATTCAGAGCCATTTAAATGTGCATTTGCCATTACATTTCATTGGTATGGATGCTGATGAATAAGGAAGTGCTGTACAACCACTAAATATGTCACTGAAGCCTGGGAACAGTTTGGCACTCCCTGACAGACGTACTAGAGCTCTGACTAAAGCACCCAGGAGAATCTGTACTCCTCTATCAGAGATACTGAAGCACAAACACATTTTCTACAACTATGTTTTTGGATCCAGACCTGATGCATTTAACTTTCTTTATGGTTATCAGATATCTACAGATGAAATCAATATTAAAGCACCCAAATCTGTTAATCTGTGGATGTCTACAGTGTATAACTTGCTGTTATGCTCCAGGTAGTCAGCTGAGCCTAAAGAACAGCACTTTAAAAAATTTAAACGTGATCAAAAACATTTACAATAATATAAATGTAAATATAAGTATTTGCATGTAGGTGTCTGCAAGGATTTTATCTTTATTTTCACAGATGTGACTTAGTTCAGCTACCCACAGACAGTGTTAAAATATTTTTTGTGACATTTAGGTATGCTGGCATTCCTTCCAGGCTGAGATATATGGCAAACAGTATACAGCAGAAAAATTCATGACTGCTGGCACCCTGAAGCAATTTAAATGGCAGTAGACAACTAGATGTCAGTAAGTGAACCAATCCCCAAAAATATAAGCCATTATTAACACTCCTAAGATTTGCAAATGYATTTCTAAGTAGATATTTGGACATGTAAACACTGAACACCATTTGAAAAATGCAAAGAATCAACACTTTTGCAGACTTCAGTGCAATAATCTTGTGTACCCCTAGTTAAAATACCCACCACTTTGCTATTTCATCATCTGGCATTAAAGTTCTTATTTATTCCATTGTCTATCAACTGAAATAAATCCATAAGYTGATATTTGCCCACTGAAAGTGGAAGATACTTTCTTATTCCTCCATTCGTATTCAGACAGCTAATAAAATGTAGCTGAAGGCTCTCTTGAGTTGCTGGTAAAAAGACAGCAAAGGCTGTTCATAAGTAGCTGATAAAACTTTCAGCCAGTGACTGGGACTACCTGGTCTTTTGCTAAAATTATCACTCCTATTTAGAACAAAATTAATTTTCAAAATCATATATAAGAATTATCATTTTAGAGTTTGTGTTTCTATCTTTGCAAGGAATCATTAATATATATATATATATTTTTTATTTCACAAAGGTGAAATAAAAATAGTTCAGACAAATAAAAATTGGAAATCAGGTAATAAGCTCTGKTTGTGGCTGAGCTTGAACACTTCAGTCAGAAATTGCTTCCAAGGCTTCAGCCAAATTTCCAAATCCATGTTCACAAATACCCAAAATGACAGAACAACTCTTCAATAAGTGCTGAATACTCAGRATACTGTACAGCTATCTGAAATTTTTGAAATACTTATAATCAAAGATATTTTGTAGTCTTACTTCCTTCCTGCTTAGGGTCCTATTTTATTAGGTGACTTCAAATTAATCCACTTTTTCAGCTTTATCTAGCTTGGTAATAGTTTGTAATAAAACTTCTATAGGGAAAAGTATAATGTATTTCTCTGAATTAGCTGAATTGCTCTTCATCGTGTATCCTACAATTATAAAAATAATAATTAGATATCTCTGCTTAGAGAGAGAGATCAATATGGAAAAGAAATCATCCAGTACTGAGCACTGTTATCTCCACAGTGAAAATTCTGCCTGTGGAGATGTTATAGATTTCTATTCTCAAATGATCCACATTTCAGCTGATTCAGATACCGTGAATAGATATGAAACCAGACTAAGTTCAGTCTCTTCTGTCTTTTCAGGATTTTTTTTTTACTTCTCGTACTAAGATGGAGAGATTCCTGAACATACATACATATATATATATATATAACTATATGTATAATTGGCTGGGAAAATGAAGTAGAGGTTTCAAAGTAGGAAGCATTAGGAGAAATCATGACCAGCTGGATCAAAAGCATTTATCTCAGTTCTGTCATCACAAACCTTTGATAACAACTCAGAAGAGCCAGTTTTAAATTCAGTTTGACAAGTCAGCCTCAAAAGACCAGACTGCCTTTGATGTGAGGTGGTATGGCTTGTGAAAACAGTTGAATCATGCCCTTGCTGCATTTCTTAATGAGGTTTTGCCTTTCAAAGTTCTTTGACTATGAATATCAAAGACCTTAGCCACTCTTTTGGTTAGGCCCTTTTATACTCTTTTCTGGCCTTTCAGTGTGTCTGAAAGAGCAGCAGAGAATTACTCTTGTAAAAAAAATACCTGCTTGGTAGAAGTGAGGGGCCAGTAATAATTTTCATCAGTGCTGGCCTACTGAACCTGACCTAAGAATCAGAATACAGGAGAGGAAAGATATTTATCTATGCTGTCTTGATTAAGTCCATGTAGTTCACTGGCAAAAGTTGAAAATACAGTWATTTTGTGGATGGGAAGCACCAATGAAGTCTTATTTCTGCATGTAAATTTGGAAAGGCATTTCTTGTATTTACTATGCAGTAGTGAAGTAAATTAAAAAATAGAGTTTGACTCAAAAAGCAATGGAAAAAAATAGAGTTATAGAGTAAGTGCCTGGMATAAAATCAATAGTAACTACTGATAAATTTGATGGGAGGGCTTGAGAACCTGATCTAATGGCTGGTGTTTCTGCCCATGGCAGAGGGTTTGRAACTACAAGATCTTTGAGGTCCCTTCCAACCCAAGTCATTCCATCATTCTGTGACATAAAATATTGAGAGAAAAAACATTCATTGCATGGTCAACAGTCAGCTAGTCCAAAAATTTTGATGTATGGGTGGCAGATGAAGACAAGGGCATAGTGGGGGGCATACAMACTAAAAGATGCAGAGTTGTAGTAAACGTTCAAAATAGAGGTGTGATTCAATCATCTGGGACCTGGCCACAGAATAGCTAGAGAAAATAGGCTCATCAAGTTTAACCCAGCAGATCAGCAAAGTCTTTAGAATCCGCTGTGTMTTCTAACAATCAGTTTCTAAAAATAAAGGTATCCTAGCTGCATAGGCATCTGCTTTTGGACTGTAGGAAAAAGAGTGGTTTTACTGTAAAATTCATGATTTTTTTACCATTCTAAGAGTTACATATATTTATCTAGCTTGTATCTTTTTAAGGCTAGCCTAGCCCCAGAGAAAAAAAAAAAAAACAAAACAAAACCAACAAACCTGTGCCGAGTCTCTTATTGTACAGGCTGCATGAAAAATAACAGGTTAAATCTTCCTTGAAAAAGAGAGACTGCGATGCACTTTGAATTAAATTGTACATTCACTGAGCCGCGTGAGACCCCCATGTAGGAAATACGAATTTGTGTGCAAAAGTACAAAAGATCAGACCAGGGCACTGAATTAGTAATAAGCCTTAATGATTCTGCTAAGAGCAAATGCCACAGATAGTTTATTATATGATGCATRAAAGCCAAAGAAGCAGAACTCCTGGAGGAGGTTGTAATCAGCCACACAATCAAGTTTTGTAGGTGGTTATATGAATGTAATACATTGCTAATTCTCTCGTGCCAAACACCGAACTACTATTAAGGACTTTGTGGAATTATTAACCTTTGTCTCTCCAAGGTCAGTCCAAAGCAATTATATTCCTGGTGAGAGACTAACTACAAGATGATTTTGAGAACCTTTCTGGTGCTYACACTAATTTGGTTTGAATTGTGCTATTTTTCTTAAAAATGAAGGTTCAGCAGGCTAAACTTTCTGATAGTCACTTTGTAAGAGTGCATGATAATCACAAGGGATATATTAAACTAAAGCAACTGCTATTTACAGCA